AATGGTACCTGTGGAGAGAACATGAAAGCGGTTAGTTACCTGTGTCCGCGTTGCTGGAACCCGGACATTCCCCCTTCTTCTTCTGGAGGTCACATGTTGCCAAGCTTCTTCACTGGCCTCTTGGCTCCGCTGTGCAACCTGCTCTAAATCTTTAGAGCTTTGTGCCCGTAGAAGCATATCCTGACTTTTGTCCAGAAAATCCTCCGTTTCTCGTATGCAACGCAGGGTTGTTATCTGTTGCTCCAGACCTTCAGTCTTCTCTTCCAATATGGAGACCAGCTTGCACTTTGTACAGACAAAGTCGCTTCTGTCCTGTGGAAGAAAGACAAACATGGCACATCCAGTGCAGGTCACAACAGCTGAACCCCCCCCTTCCATATCACCTTCCTACTATGAGCTTCCTCAGAGAAGTTGGCAAGATGTAAGCGTCACTGGGCTCGCTCCAGGCAAACTCCCAGGCAAACTCCTGCTGTGTGCTGCTCTGCTGTTCCCCGCTGCTCAGCTGGTTCGCCGCTGACCCACCTGACCCACCGTTTGAGAACCGCTGTTCTTAGGTCACAAATCTGAGGAACTGCCCCAGATTGAGGTGTCAGTGGAGGAGGTTTTGAAACTAATTAATAAGTTAAAAAGTCAGACGTCACCCCGACCAGATGGCATCACCCAAGACATCTGAAGGAACCCAAATATGAACTTACAGAACCAACTGGTATGTAACCTATTGCTTAAATCAGCTCCTGTCTCACATGACGGGCAGCTAGCTAATGTAATGCCAAAAAAAAAAAGTCTCTAGAGGTGACCCCGGCAATTGCAGGCTGGTGAGCCTGGCTTCAGTACCAGGCACATTGGTTGAAACTGTAGCAAAGAACAAAATTGTCAGACACATGGATGAACACCATATGTTGGGGAAGAGCCAACATGGCTTTGTAAGGGGAAATCATGCCTCAGAATTCTTTGAGGGGATCAACAAACGTGGATAAGAGTGAAACAATGGATATAGTGTACTTGGACTTTCAGAAAGCCTTTGACAAGGTCCCTCACCCAAGGCTGTTAAGCAAAGTAAGCCGTCATGGGATAAAAGGGAAGGTCCTCTCATGGATCAGTAATTGGTTAAAAGATAAGAAACAAATGTTAGGAATCAGCGATCAGTTTTCACATTGAAAAGAAGTAAATAGGGGTGTCTCCCAGGGGTCTGTTCTGGGGCCAGTGCTGTTCAACATATTCATAAATGATCTGGAAAAAGGGGTAAACAGGGAGGTGGCAAAGTTTGCAGATACTAAATTACTCATGAAATTTAAGTCCAAAGCAGATGGCGAAGAGTTACAAAGGGATCTCACACAACTGGGTGGCTAAGCATCAAAATGGCTGATGAAATTCAATGTTGATAAATGCAAAGTAATGCACATTGGAAAACATAATCCCAACTATACATACAAAATGATGGGGTCTAAATTAGCTGTTACCACTCAAAAAAGAGATCTTGGAATCATTGTGGATAGTTCTCTGAAAACATCTGCTCAATGTGGTTGGGGTCATCAGTGTGGTTAGATGTTGATAGATGTTTGACTGCATGTGTGTGTTTCTTTTGTGTACCGCTCCAGCCCTGTGCAGACAGCTGGCACGGCAGACCTCGGGTGAACTGCCCAATGACCACAAGATTTGTTAAGGGATGAAGGCACCCAGCTAGGTTTATTGTCAATGAAGCACTGTACTAGTATTCTGCAGAGTTTGCCAGACCACTAATACATGTATGCCCGTAACAATGGGCCAGCTTAGTGAACGGCGAGACTTTCCATTTCTCCCTAGGCCAGACAAAGATACTTCCTTTGAGATACATTTTTATACCCCGATACAAACAAGTTAGTACTACCCCTCTGACATAGTTAGTTACTGCCCCCTTATTTGGCTAGTTATCACCCATTACCTTGTACATGTTGGTTTGATTAAAACATCTCTCTCCGTACTGTCCTCCTGACCTTATTTTTTAGGAGGGGTTAGTGTGTTCCTGTTATCCTTGGGGAATGTTTTTGTACCATCCTTGATATCAGAATGTTCTGGTACCACTTAATATCGGGGTGTGTTTGTGTAAGTACTCTGTAACTAGCACTTTTAGGAATGTGTATTTTCTGCAATATCAGCCCTTTTCTTGCCAAATTCTTTAAGCAGATCCTGCCTCATACCAGGCCTCTAATGCAAGGGCTTATGTCTCTGGCTCTCTTCTTACTACAGGGATCAACACTGACTACTTCCTCTCCTCCTTGCCTCATGTGCTGGCTACTACAACAAGTCCTGCCACTGCTTTCTCCACGTCATTTAGAAAATATATCCTTTCCTTTCTCTCCCATTGTCTAAGGCTCTTGTTCATACCCTGGGTAATCTTCTGCCTCGACTGGTGTAACTATCACATCCTCTGTGTCCTCTATGACATATATATTGCATTCTCCAGTCACTCCAAAATACAGTGGCCAAAATTATCTTAATCGCCAATTAATCCAACCATATCATTTCCCTTGTCACATCTCCATCTTGCTGTCTCTTGGTTAGCATGTCCAGTTTAAAATTCTGGTCTTCCCATCAACGCTATGCACAGCTCTACCCTAGCCTACAGCTTTTATCTTGTGATGTATCACCACCCATCACTTTTACTTTCCCAGCAATGCCAGTCTTTAAATCCCTTTTAGGATCTTCTCCCACTCCAGTTTCAGTGCCTTGATCCCCGCTTCTTCCCATTCGTGGTATGTCAGATCCCCATACTCACACTGTTATTGGGGCCTCTGGGAGCCACCTCAGTACCTGCCAAGACCCATTGCGTTTGGTGCTGTATCAAAGACATAACATGCTATTTGGGGCAGGGGTTATCTAAAGCAGCCTCCCAATCGGAGTAGTGGGGGCGGGCAAGCAACCTAACCAGTTTTAAGATGGATCTAGATAAGTTTATGAATGGGAAGGGATGATATGACAGGGTTGCCTGATCTAGCAGGGGACTGGACTCGATGACCCAGGAGGTCCCCTCCAGTCCTATGTCCCTATTCTAAGACTAGATGCAAACAGCATGAGGGAAGTGGGAAAGCCAGCAGTGGGTAATGAAGATAGCTTATACCTCACATGCTGAGTGTCTTACAGCTTGATGATTCCTGATGGCTCCAAACCAAAACAAAACAAAAAAACCCCAAAAGGGTGGTTTTAATTTTAAAAAAGCCTAATTACCTTAAAATCTGCCCTCCCCCACTAGTCCATGTCTTAGCTCTTGCTGGCTGGCTGATTCCTTTTAGGGCTATTTCAAAGGAGAAGGTGGCCCTAAATTGGGCTTCCTGTCCATGTTCCAGCCCCATATTAGCTGCTTAGAGATGTTCAAAGAGACTGACCCTGCCAGAAGCTTTCACAGCTGGAATAGCGGGATTTCTGGCTTTAATTAATATGTGGTTTGGTTGTGCTGAAAGGCTCAGTTCCTGTAGTTCTCTAATATCTTTTTAACTGTGCTTGGAAGTGGTTCCTGAATATTCCTGGGGCACTGTATCTGTTAGCTCGGTGCGAGTCTCCCCCGACAGGCCTGTCAGCAGGTCAATCCTCAGTTCTTTAACCCAGGCCAGGATGTTCGTTTCAGGCCCAGTCTTCATGAACAGCAGCTAAGCTTGGCAGGGGCTGGGTTTTCTGCACAGTTGTGTTAGGAGTGGTTACAGCAAAGTGAACTCTTGGTGATATCAAAGGAGTCGTTTCAAAAGTTGGCTAACCTAATCCCCCTTCCGCTGTTACAGCCGTGGCGCTGGGTCTTCTCTTTGGACTGATGTATATTTTTTAAATCTCAGCCATGTGCTATAGCTTTTAAGGCACATCTCGTGTTGGGGAGAGGGTGTGGTGAGGACACCCAGGAGAGAGAGCCCATGGAAGCATTTTGGCTGGTTGTCCCAGAATTCTTCTGGAGGCTCTGGAGAGAGCACACTTGAGCCGCTGCCCTCCCGCTTCGGAAGGTCCGGTGTACACTCCCCTCACTGACAGCTGCACTGGGCCCAGCCCTTTCTAGGGAGACCAGCACTAGACTGAAAGGCCCAGTGTTCCCTGCTGTGAGTGTGGGTGGCCCCTTCTGTGGGAACCCAAAGGGGAAGGTCCAGCCAGTGTCTGGCCCTTAATTTTTTCTGAAGTACATTACACAGGTTATGAAAGAATGTGCAGGTCTCTTAAATATGTGTTTGGTTCTTATTAGTCTTTGATAAGTGGTTACTTTTCATGCAGTACTGTCATTTCTTCCATATGCAAGATGGGTGATTTTTGTCTGAGCATTTTAGTGGCTTGTATTCCTGCAGGATAATAGAACAACCCCCAGCTCTTACATAGTGCATTTCATTTGTAGATCTTAAAGTGCTTCATAAAGGAGTGGTCAGTATCATTGTCCTCATTTTACAGATTAGGAAACTGAGGCACAGGGAGGCAAGTGACTTTCCCAGGGTCAGCCAGCAAACCGGTGTCAGAGCCAGGAATTGAATTTAGGTCTTCTGAATCAAGTGCTGCATCATGATTGTGTGAGAAGAGAGGCTGCCATTTAATGTCCCCATCCTGTGCATTATCAGATACTGTCTGTCTAACAGCTATTCATTTCTAGCGTACAAAGACCGAACTATTTACATTTAGTGTAGTCTATATAATGGAGAGAAGGGACGTTTTATTATTTATGCATTTATTTCATTATGAAATGGGGGTTGGGTAATTGTTTAAATAACGAATGGGTTTCGTTTGCCCCAGGCAGAGTGAGGAAAGGATGAGAGGAGATTGCCAGTCCTGGAAGCCCATCTCCCCATGCTGCCTGTGGTGTGAAATACCAGGCCATTTGTGTGGGCCACCTCGGCACCATGGGCAGCTCCGCCCTTCCTTTCGTTCTGAACGTTGCCAGAGATTTCCTGTAATGTCTGGAGAGATGCAGGCTGCACGGAACTTGACTCTAAGCAGCTGTGTGATAGTGAATTTTAACATGTTGTTACAAGCAACCTTTCCCTGCGTTTCCTCCTCAGTCTCAGCTGCCGGCGATGTATCATTGTGGGAAACGGTGGAGTTCTTGCAAATAAGTCATTGGGGTTGAAAATTGATGACTATGATGTTGTCGTCAGGTGAGTCCTCGGTATCCTATTCTGGATATTTTTTATTCATTTTCAGTATAGCACAAATAGACTGTAGAGCGGTTCAACCTCCATTGTTCACACATTGACCAGGAACAATCGCCATTGGTAGGGGCACTTACAATGAGGTGTAAAATAAACCAAGAATGTACAGATTGTCCAAATTCTAAATGTTCGTGGTGGTCTTGACGGGGAAGGTAGTTTGTCTCACTTATCCCACAAGTGCCTCCATGCTGTCCCTTCCATCATTCAAGCTGTGACCCTCTCCTTACTGCAGTTCTTCCCGAAGAGTCTCCTCTTCCATGATGCCCGCAGTGTGTGTGCATCAATACTATTGAATTAGCTGCTATTACAGAGCTGCTCCTAGTTAGATTCCATAGGCCAGGTACTGTCATACACACATGCGCGGCGTTGTCCAGGACCTACCGCTTAAGAGCAAGGCAGGAGCAGAGCTGTGTCCTGCCCAAGAGAGGAGAGTCTGCGGCAGAAGCTGCTCACTTCTCCCCTCCCTTGCCCTGGACACTGGGAAAAGTGCTCCGAGTGGGATAAATCTTTTCCACCCCGCACCCCCTGGCAGTATGTGCTTAATTCTTTGCGATGGTCTTGTGATTACTGTTCCTTTGGGCTGCACTGTTCTCGTAGGGCCCCTCCAGGGACTCCGCCTCTGCTCAGAAAGCAGGAGGAGGAAAGGCTTCAATTCTTTGCACTAAGCCACCCACATAGATTTAAATCCAAACTACCTCCAATTTAATTTCAAAATGAGAAACTCAATGAGGAGTTCAGTGGTCTGGCAAAAATAAACCCATTCCTATCACTAATAACTGGATGGGTTGCCTGTAGTGGGTCGTTTCCACACCCAACGTGACCCTTCTCCTCACATCAGTAAATCTGAAGCTAGTCTGTGGCCTGGGATGAGGAGGGTGGTATTTGAGCATCTGTGCTGGCAGGGAGCTGGGATAGGAAGTGAAAAGGCAACCTTAAAGGTTAAGTGAAGCCAGGTGCTCAGCTGTGTGAGTGAGCGGGTGAGAGCAGACATCTTCTTCAATGTCTCCACCTGCTTGCTTGAGTCCCATGGAAGTCGGGGGAAGGAGAGGTGCATTCGTTCTGGGCTGCTTGGCTGCATTAGCAGGCTTTGCAGGAACTAGACCTGGGAGCTAGGAGGTGGATCTCTGCGGCAGAGAAATATAGAGAATCCATTGGTGCAGCTAGCAGATAATGCAGGGGCCCAGTCACATAGTGGGGTTCTGATTGACTCCTCACAGGGCTTGGACCAGTTTTCCTGAGGTAAAAACAAAGGCAGACTTGCCCTGGCAATCCCAGACTAGCGCCACTTGGTGCTCCATGAAAAGAGGAGTATGAGCTGGTCTGAACTATGACACTCAACGGACAGGGGCAATCCCCACACGCTGTTCAGTGCAGAAGTGCCTCCTTTAAAGCCTGGGCACCTCCAGGGGCTCCTCCATGGGATAATATTGACAGTTTGGTTTAGGGTAGCATTTGGAGGCTTCAGTCAGGGATTGGAGCCCCGTCATCTAGGGGGTGCATATCCATGAAATGAAGACAGTCCCTGTGTGAGCTGGCTGGAATTTGAAGCTAGACAAATTCAGACTGGAAATAAGACTTACATTTTAAAGAGCAAGGATCAGGGGAGGCGGAAGCTCCCTGTGAATGAGAGGGCAGAAGCTTAGCGGGAGAGGGAGTGAGGGGAGGTACTGAGTAGTGGGTGGGGTAGCCAGATCCAGGCCTGGAAGGGGGATCCCGAGGGTTCCAAGTCAAGAAAACAGCAATAATGGAACCAGGCTCTGCTCCTCCACCGGGAACACAGCCTGAAGTGACTGGGACTCTGCACCAAAGTCAGATGGGACTTTTGAAAATTCCACCCTTACGTGCCCAAGTATGGACTTAATTTCTTAAATCAAGTGATTGAGTTTTGAAATTTTTGGCCTGTGTATAAGAAGTTCCCATAACTTTAATTTCTTGAAAGTCTTAATAACTTTTTACTGTTAATACTGTAGGAATTTTGTTTTAAAGTGACAAAGATTTTGTGTTACTGAGAAAAGTTTTAATAGTACAGACTAAGCCCTGTATGCTGTAAACACTTTAAGCATATGAATAGTCCTACTGACTTAACTCTTCACGCGAGTAAAGTTATGCACCTGCTTAAGTGTTTGCAGGGCCTTAATTCTCAGTATTTTGTTTGTCTATAGCAGTGTTGTGCAATTCAGATATGTCACTTTAGCGGTAGTGGCTCTTAAAACAACACTATTTATAATAAGAAAAGGAGGACTTGTGGCACCTTAGAGACTAACACATTTATTTATTTATCCGATGAAGTGAGCTGTAGCTCACGAAAGCTTATGCTCAAATAAATTGGTTAGTCTCTAAGGTGCCACAAGTCCTCCTTTTCTTTTTGCGAATACAGACTAACACGGTTGTTACTCTGAAACCAACTATTTATAATTTACTCCATAATGATCTTTTGTCTAAAATTTCAAGAGCACAAATTTTCCAATTAGTTTTCCAAAGCCCTAGCCTGATTTAAATCATTGGAGCTGTTTTTTGGTTTCTTAAATCAAGTGTTTTACATTGACTTGACTGGAATTGCTTCATAATGAACCTGACTGATAATAAGCTATGGCTGTGGTTAGGCATAGTGCTGGGTTTTGTGGTCAAGGAAATCACTGCCCAATGGTTGCTACCTCACCAACCATATGTGAATGTAAATGAGAGTCTCTGGTAGTTTATCCTCTTGTCACCCAACAGGCTGAACTCTGCTCCAGTGAAGGGTTTTGAGAAGGATGTGGGTGGCAAGACAACGCTGCGGATCACATACCCTGAAGGGGCCATCCAGAAACTGGAGCAGTATGAGAAGGACTCCTTCTTTGTTCTGGCTGGATTCAAGTGGCAGGATTTCAAGTGGCTCAAATACATTGTTTACAAGGAGAAAGTGGTAAGACTTGGTCTGTGTCGCTTAGGTGGATGGGGTGGGGAAATATTAGTATGTCATGATTTTACCGACAACATTTGGATCGGGGCCCAGTTTCTCTGTCTGCCCCTGCCCAGGTGTCTGCATTTCGTTGGATGGTCTGTCACTTCCATGGACCCCGTTTTTAATGGAATACGCTTTGTAATGCCAGCTCAGTGGATCTGGCTGCCCCTGTATAATCTGGGCTCACGCCATAAGAATGTAAGAATGGCCATACTGGGTCAGAGCAAAAGTCCATCTAGCCCAGAATCCTGTCTCTGACAGTGGCCAGTGCTAGATGCTTCCAGCAGTTGGAGGTTTAGGGAAACCTGGAGTATGGAGTTGCATCCCTGCCCATCTTAGCTAATAGCCTTTGATGGACCTGTCCTCCATGAATTTACCTAATTCTTTTCTGAACCCAGTTCTACTTTTGGCCTCCACAACATCCCCTGGCAATGAGTTCCACAGGTTGACTGTGTGTTGTGTGAAGAAATATTTCCTTTTGTTTGTTTTAAACCTTCTGCTTATTAATTTCATTGGGTGACGCCTAGTCCTTGTGTTATGTGAAATGGTCATTAAAACTTCCCTAGTCACTTTCTCCCCACCAGTCATGATTTTACAGACCTCTGTCCTATCCCCCTTAGTTGTCTCTTAACAGTTTAACTTCTAAACTGAACAGTCGCAGTCTTTTTAATCTCTCCTCACAAGGAAGCTGTTCCATGCCCTGAATCATTTTTGTTGCTCTTCTCTGCACCTTCTCCAATTCTAATGTATATTTTTTGAGATGGGACAACCAGAACTGCACACAGTATTCAAGGTGTGGGCGTACCAGGAATTTATACAGTGGCACTGTGATATTTTCTGTTGTATTCTCTGTCCCTTTCCTAATGGTTCCTAGCACTCTGTTCGCTTGTTTGACGGCCGCTGCACATTGAGCGGATGTTTTCAGAAAACTATCCACCGTGACTCCAAGGTCTCTCTCATGAGTGGGTAAGAGCTTATTTAGACCCTGTCATTTTGTATGTATATTTGGGATTATTTTTCCAAACAGAATGACGGGGTCTAAATTAACTGTTACCACTCATCAGTGCTTGACTTGCCAGAGTTTATGCCCCTTGAATGAGTCTCACTATTAATCTTATGAATCTTGTTACAAACAGTGAATTTAATTGTATACCGATCCCAAATTATGTGAAAGGGCGAGTATTGATTTTAATGTATTTCATGGGTTCATAGAGTTTAAGGCCAAACTGGACCGTTACAGCGTCTCACCTGACCTCCTATATATCACAGGCAAGAAACAAGAACCAATGGCTGGAAGTTAAGCCAGAAAATTCAAATTAGAAATAAAACACAGATTTTTTAACAGTTTGGGTGATTAACCACTAGAGCAAGTTAGCACGGGAAGTGGTGTATTCTCCATCTCTTGATGTCTTCAAATCCAGACTGATACCTTTCTGGAAAGTATGCTGTAGCCAAACACAAGTTATTGGGCCAATACAGGGGTAACTGCATGGAAAAGTAATGGCCCGTGTCATAAATATAAACGGAAGGGTAAACCCCTTTGAAATCCCTCCTGGCCAGGGGAAAGCTCCTCTCACCTGTAAAGGGTTAAGAAGCTAAAGGTAACCTCGCTGGCACCTGACCAAAATGACCAATGAGGAGACAAGATACTTTCAAAAGCTGGGAGGAGGGAGAGAAACAAAGGGTCTGTGTGTCTGTCTATATTCTGTCTTTGCCGGGGATAGACCAGGAATGGAGTCTTAGAACTTTTAGTAAGTAATCTAGCTAGGTACGTGTTAGATTATGATTTCTTTAAATGGCTGAGAAAAGAACTGTGCTTAATAGAATAACTATTTCTGTCTGTGTATCTTTTTTGTAACTTAAGGTTTTGCCTAGAGGGGTTCTCTATGTTTTGAATCTAATTACCCAGTAAGGTATCTACCATCCTGATTTTACAGGGGGGGATTTCTTTATTTCTATTTACTTCTATTTTTATTAAAAGTCTTCTTGTAAGAAAACTGAATGCTTTTTCATTGTTCTCAGATCCAAGGGTTTGGATCTGTGGTCACCTATGCAAATTGGTGAGGCTTTTTATCCAACATTTCCCAGGAAAGGGGGGGGTGCAAGTGTTGGGAGGATTGTTCATTGTTCTTAAGATCCAAGGGTCTGGGTCTGTAGTCACCTAGGCAAATTGGTGAGGCTTTTTACCAAACCTTGTCCAGGAAGTGGGGTGCAAGGTTTTGGGAAGTATTTTGGGGGGAGAGACGTGTCCAAACAGCTCTTCCCCAGTAACCAGTATCTGTTTGGTGGTGGTAGCGGCCAATCCAAGGACAAAGGGTGGAATATTTTGTACCTTGGGGAAGTTTTGACCTAAGCTGGTAAAGATAAGCTTAGGAGGTTTTTCATGCAGGTCCCCACATCTGTACCCTAGAGTTCAGTGTGGTGGAGGAACCTTGACAGCCCGTGATATACAGGAGGTCAGACCAGATGATCTAATGGTCCCTTCTGGCCTTAAACTCTATGAAATCTATGAAAGCACACACAGAAGTTTGAGAAGAGAGGTGGGGGATCTCTGTGGAAACCAGCTTCCCCAGAGGGATTTAGCTATTTTGTCTGATGTGCCACCTTCGCGGGCTGCTCTGTGTCACATCTCATGTGCTTAGTCCTGATGTTCTTTCTTTAGCTGCTTGAGAATAGATACGCAAGCACATGGTATGGAGCTTCAGATCAGAATCTTCAGAAATGTGGAGGGGAGGCCAGAGAAACAATAGTCTCTTCTTCAAGTGATGGACCACGTGGATTCCACTTACGATGCCAGGCACCTGAGATCAGATGCTGTTGAATATCAGTATCTGGGGCCACCCCTGTGTCCTGGATGCTCTTGTGCCCTTCCCACCCCAGGCCATAAAGGGAAGACCTGGCCCAGCCATCATATCAGATCCTTTTTACCATCCGTGGCTGCCTCTTACTGTTATAGCCAACAGAGGTCATCAGCACAGCCAAGACAAAGATAGCTCCTGAGAAGGAGACCCTCTCCCCTCTCTTCTGCCACATAGTCTGTGCTGACCTCTGATCAGCAGATTTAACGCTATAGTCAAGAGCCATATAGAACCATTGGCTCCATCCTACCCCCTTGCGCCTCTTTGTCAGCTCTCTCTCTCTGGTTTTGGGACACCTGGAACCAAATAACATCTGACCAGTCGGTCCTGGAGATGATAGACTAGGAGTACTCTATCCAGTTCCTCCCTGCCCCCTTCCCTGTCCCTCCTCAGGAACCAATCTCACAGGACATGGCTAAGGAAGAAAGTAAACTCCTGTCTGCAATTCGGAGTGCCCTGGGAGTTCCAGGGCCAGGGAGGTTTATTCACATTATTTCCTGATCCCAGACAAGAAAGAGGGGGCGCCCCATTCTGGACCTTTAATGTCTCAACAAACCCCCTTTGTTTCAAATTCAGGATGGTGACTCTAGCATCCATAATCACCACTGTCGATCCTCAGGACAGTTCATGCCTCTCGACTTGCAAGATGCCTGTTTCCATACAGCTAGTCACCCAGCTCACAGGAAATACCTCAGGTTCCTGGTGGGGAAGTCCCACGATCAGTCCAGAGTGCTTCCCTCCACGGCTCCCAGAGTACTTACCCAAGTGCCTGCTGGGCCATGGCAGCCCTCCTGCAGAGACAAAGGATACATGTATACCCAGACCTCGCCAGCTGGCATATTCGAGGGCAGTCACCTGAGCAAGTGAACAGCTCCAGCCAAGTAACTCTAGTGCTCTTCGCTGCTCTGGGTCTCAGTGAGCAGAGGTGCCTGTTCTTACTCCTACTCAGAGGATAGCGTTCATAGGAGCAGTGTTAGATTCCAAAGCAGCAAGAGTTTACCTACCGCAGCAAAAGTACCACTTGATACTGAACCCTGTCAGTCAACTCCAGACGCACTTGAAGACCTCATTTACAGCCTCACATGCCTCAGGCTCCTGGAACAAAAGATGTTTGGTGAGATCTTAGAGTTGTTTCTAATTTTCACTTGAACCAAGTAATCCATCTGCCAGTTTTCTTTCCTAAGCCTCACATTAGCAAAGGGGAAGCTAAACTTCACACCCTCGATGTTGTGAGGTCCTTCTCCTACTACCTGGAGAGGGCAAGACCCTTCAGAAACTCTCCCAGGCTATTACTGGCCTTTGTTGACAGGATGATGGGTCAACCTGTGCTCACCCAAAGACTATCCAAATGGGTGTCCGACTGTATGTGTTCCATGACTGTCCCTTCCTTGCTACTGCAGAGGCCTGTGTCATCTGGATTCTGTCTTAGTGAAGGGACTGAGGGGTAATTGAGCTTACTCCACTTTTTATACCCTTAAGTGAGAGGGGATGTGGGCACCCAGGGCACAGGCGTGGTTCCAACAGACACTGCTCTTCAAAAGATGCTGATCTCACACCAGAATCTCATTCCACCAGAATCAAAATCCATGTGGACCACACATCTCCAGGAACCAGTTACTGAAAAGTAACTGTTGGTTGGATAGTTGTTCTGGCCAGGAGGTGGCCAAGTGGCACGCCTGCTCTAGTCAGCCAAAAAAAGCCAAACAAACAGAATAACAAATCAGAAAATGAAAGATTATGTATACTATGTTCAGAGCAGAGTTCCTGAAACCACCAGACCAACATGTGCACACCCTTTTGCAAACTAGTTATAGAAGGGAATGGAGTTGGGGCTGAATCAAAGATAGTTCTTTGTGCATCATTTCATCAGAACAAGTTACTGCATTTCATACATCCATAGATCCCAAGGCCGGAAGGAACCACTGCTGTCACCTAGTCTGACCTCCTGCATAGCACAGGCCAGAGAACTTCTCCAAAATGATTCCTAGAGCAGATCTTTCAGAAAAACATCCAGTCTTGATTTTAAAATGGCAGTGATGGAGAATCCATCAAGACCCTTGATACATTGTTCCAATTGTTATTTACTCTCACTGTTAAAAATGT